TCTTTATGAAGTAATGATGAAAGCTGAGCTTGAGTTGATTGTCGGCGAATCTTGGCATAGTAGCAACATGTGTTGCTACATCACTGTTCTTCTTTAAGGAAGAAGTAACTCACGCAAGCGTACCTTTCCAAAAAAGAATAATTCTTCCAGACTCCTTTTGAGACTTGTATTTTTCAAACACCGATTTAGTACTTTAAGTGAATAAATATAACAAATACATAATGAGTAATAACAACAATGCATTAGCTCTTTCATATTTTGCCGGATTGAGATTAAAGGTTGTTGAACGACGTAACCTATATCTGCTAGTTTCGATGCATCTATGCCCGTTTTTCCGATACCTCTTATGATTTGAGTTTATTTGCGTCAATCATGTTTTCTGAGTGTGGGGGTAGTTCTAGTAGAAAACGTGGAGAAATGAGCAAAATTTTAAAGTAATGGTCTTGCCTTGATGAGTTAGAAGCCAATTCGAAATCCATCAAATCAATGTGGAATTTTTCTTCCAAAGTTTCTACGATTTGCATTTTTAGGAAGCATTTGGTGATTTGGCGCGTGCATGCAATGTTCGTGTCATCACCTGGAGGAAATTGAGCACAAATCGTGACTCTCTAGGGGCCGAAGCGAAGAAAACGGAACCCTTAATACGTCAGGTGCGAAATTTCTTTTAGTATCGTTAGGAATTCGACGGATGATTTCTGCGCTTATGTGCACATTGAGATATCGCATCAGGATCACTGCGACCTTCTGATTTAAATAGTTGCTGTGCAAATAAGTCCCTCATTCTTATCAATAGTGAAAAGTAGTGTAATGCTCCTCCTTTATTCTGATCATTCTACACAGAGAGGAACGTTCAGTTTCGTCCCAAATTTTTCTCGAAATACATCTTCCCTTTTAGGGCTTTTGAGTTTCTTGCTTGAGCCGTTGGATCGTAGTCAAATGATTATTTCATTTGAAGCTAGGCTGTTTTTATTTTTCTTTCTTTAGCAGCATTCACACTCTGTTCAAATGTGATACTTATGCAGCGCAA